TGCCTCGTTTGTACAGCCCACCTGCCTAGCTTTGACTTGTCCCTTCCTTTTACCATGTTTGCATGAAACAGTGATATTCTGGCTGGTTAATGGGAATTAATGTGCAACTTTCCTATGTCTTATCTCTGTAATCACAGTCAATGTTTATCCTATGGTTGAGGTTTTTTTTTTTACAATTTCAAATTTTAGTTAGGAAGCATCAAAAATGGCAGATGTTGCATTTTAGGATGACATGCTTAACCATAGGAAAGTTGCTGAAGTTGCTCATATTCTTGCCTACAGGCGAGGTAGCTTGGTCTCTCTATAGAAATTTGGGATTCCCCCTGGATCTCATTAAGTTGATGCTTGAAGAAAAAGGAGTACAGCTAGACATTGCTACTTTTGATCGTCTGGCTCAGGAACATGCTGAAGTAAGGCTGACATATGTCTTTTTATGAGTCATCCTAATTGAGCTTTTTTTTCCCTCTGACCAATGCCTTAAAATGCTACTTTTAGGGAAATCTTAAGGCAAAAATAGGCAACCTGTGCCTTTCTAGCCATAGCTAAAAGGAGCTCCCAACAGCCCCTGTGGTAAACAGTGAAGAATATTGGGAATTTAGCAACATCGGGAAGACTACAAGGAGTTCACTCCAGTAGTTTGAAATTTACTGAAAAAGCCCCTCTGTTAGCTGAAACCATAATGCATAAAAATAGATAAGTATATTGTTGACATCTGTTTTAATTTTGATCTGGGTTTTTTGCTAACCGTTGTCTTTTTTTTTTTCCTCTAAAAGGTGTGCAGGGGCAAACTGGATTGCAGTTAAATTTCATAGTAATCATTGAATTCCACCTCCCCAACAGTTGATTTAAAAGGGAACAAAGATTCTCAGAAACTTAGACTTGATCCTAAATTGGGGTAGTCTTATGAAAATGCTACAGTCTTCAGAATTCTGTGTACAGGTTGTATTAAATTGATGCTTCTCTTTCTTGTGTTTTCTCTCTCTGCGTCTTTCCTTCCATCTCCATATCTCTGCAGCACAATGCTAAGATGCAACAGCAACAGCAACCCCAGAGTTCTAGGAAGCAGCTGGATGTGCTTTCATTGGCTCACTTGCAGCAGCGTAATGTGCCCATTACTGATGATTCCCCCAAGTATGACTATAAACGTGGACAAGATGGGAAATATGGTAAGGATCAACCATCCTTTGTGAAGACCAGACTTATTTTCCAGTAGGGAGATAAATGTTTTTGTTAGAGTAGGATAATTGGACTCATTACCTGGTTTGAAAAGTCAATAGCAGCATAATTTTACAAAAATACACTCAGGCAGCCATTTCTTATTTTATTACTGCATCTATATGCTGCATGCTTGCAAGCTTCAACTAAATATAGTGATCTTGGATAATGAGGAGGGGGAAATTCTCCTTGAGGGGTCAGGTGGCTGAATCTCTGCTTGCTGAACTTCAGAGGTCAGTAGATCATCAGTTGTCATGGTGACTTCATCAAAACAACAAGGCAGACATTTTTTTATATTCATTTTTTCCTCAGTTGATGTGATATAAGTGGGAGACTTTAAGGAAACAAATCATTCTATTTCCACCCTTAAAACCTACCTCAAATCATGGGAGTCATTGTTTTTCAGGCTAATTTCAGTATTCTTTTCTGGTTTTGTGAAGTATTAAAGATGGAAAAGGAGATGATTTGCATCCCTAAGACTTCCTAGCTGTGTTCCAGCTGAAATCTGTCTCACAGTGAAAAAAAGAGCCCAAGTCACCTCTCCCTCTGACAAAAAATTGGAAACCATTTGGAAGCAGGCAACATCTTCAGAAGCCTTCAGAAGGTCCTGCCTGCTTCCAAATGGCTGCCTCCAAATGGATATAGTTTATGTAATCCATGTACAAGAGAATCACATAGTCTACTGTATATTTTGGTACTGGCTTCCAGCAGTTGATGTCAAGACAGTAGAAGGCTCTGATTTGTCCACTCCTCATATTAGGAAGCACCTCCTCTCTAACCAGGTTAGCTCTATATATCCAAATCCCACTTGTTTGGAAAGCATGGGGTATATTAGCCTCCTTCCTCCATGTTGTTTTTTGCCTGTAGGATTCTGTGAGGGAAAAGAGAAGACTTTTACTTAAACAGTAAAATATCTTTAATCAGGTTATATTCACCAATCACCATAGGAGTTGGCTGGTGGAGGGATGAGACAATTGGAGTCCAGTTGATCAAGAGGAAAGAAGCCTATTTTTAGCAACATCTAGCAAGTTCCATGATATCACTAAATCATTCATAACTAGAAACCTTGAAGTATTGCCAACCAGAATAGACAAAATAATATAAATAACAGACTAATTAGGCTAAATAATCCAGTAATTCCATATTAGTCTAAGGTAGTTTCTTATATGCTGTCCTCTTTTGTAGAGCAATGAGACTTTAGCTTTCCTGGAGCTGGGGAATTGAACTTGAAGGAAGAAAATCTATCATAGCACATGCATTGAATCGATGCATATTTAAATCCATTTAATGCAGTTAAAGCCAGTAATATATCCTTGTCATTACCTAGGTGGGGAACTGTGAGTGATATCTCCACAGCCATTAATCTTTGTATTTCTTAGATTTTTCACATACCCAGCTTCAACTATTTGGTGGAAGCTGCAAATTTTTGTTAAGGCTCCAGCAGTACACTACATAAACTGGCAAGGTCTTTCATGAGAAGGCACTGTTGTTGTTCAGTTGCTAAGTCATGTTTGACTCTTCAGGACCCCATGAATCACAACATGCCAGAGCCACCTGTCCTCCATTGTCTCCTAGAGTTTTCCCAAAGAGAAGGAACTACTCCCATATATAGCAATATCATTTTAATATATTTGTGTTCTTGGATACTGCGAGGACTGGTGCTCTGTGACTATCCAAAATACTTGGCTTTGAAATAATATAGGTGAGCATTGGTCAGATCAGTGCTACATGATTGGCTAATTGTCTTGTTGTCCAGGTGGCTCCACTGAACAGACCACTTTGTAGAAATGGAGTCTATGACCTTTTTCTTGCTCTTTGCAGTGTTCAAGCCATGCCAAGCCACTGTCTTAGCATTATATAGAGATCAGACTCTTCAAGAAGAAGTTTCAGGAAAACAGCACTGTGGGGTCCTGCTAGATAGGACTTGCTTCTATGCTGAGCAGGGTGGTCAGGCATCTGATCAAGGCTATATGATGTGTGGCAGACATCAGGTAAGCTTTTTCCCAGTCAGAAATGAAATTATTCCCTGATGTCCCTGGGCATGAGCTTCCTTGAAATGCATTGGTTGGTTGCAGTCTCCAAGCTACAGCATCAGTTTATTCCTTATCCACATCTTCTTGCTTCTCTTTTAGTCTTTCACTATAGCAAATATAAGGAAACAGGAAGGAAAAAACTAACCACTGTAGTATTTGCACTAAATACAGAAGCTTTACCTCTACCGATCTTAATCTATACTTCTCCCAATGTTAATTCAGGAGCTTAGTTGATTGATAAATAGCATTTGTTAATGATTAAGATACTTGAATGTCCTATAGAAGAATAGAAGAACCTGCTCCACAAAAATTGCAAAGTGTCTGTGTTAACAATTTTGTCTTTTTCCTACTTTTGAGGATGTACTTTTTCCTGTTGAATCAGTACAAGTATTTGGTGGCTATGTAATCCATGAAGTCTTCATTTCAGAAACCCTGAAGGTTGGGGACCAAGTACACCTCTTTGTGGATGAGGTAACAATCTGTGCTGGGCAATTCCTGGGTCAACAGTGTGTTTATGAACATGCCATACTAACAGTTTTTATTGGGTGGGCAGTTAGTAAAACATATTGCGCTCTGGCCATGACAAACATTTCAAAGGAGTAAGGTATAGGATATTTTATGTTAGTCTTTACCTTTCTTGATTTTGCCCTAACACTGTTTTCCTTTCAACCAACTCACAAAGATTAACAAACACAGATGATGCAGCTTAGCACCAAGACAGCGTGTTACATTCAAGATACAGAGAAAAAACCCTGCAGATTCCCTAACAATTCTCAACTACATGCCCATTAAAATAAGCGAAGCTAAGATATGCAAATAGAGGTTTTTTAGCGGACTAACTTTGTTATATTAAGGCAAATTCCATCATTTTGGCTGCTTAGGCAGTTCTTTGAGAGGCCTCAACAAAATTTGTTTCAAGCAAAGTTGCTGTAGTTTTGAATTATTACTCAAGCATTCTACTCATAAGCAGCTCATGCTTCAAAATGGGCTGGTGAGCCAGTGTGAGAGATGCTCAGTTTTTAATAAGATGCATAGTTCTAATTAAGCCATTAAGAGGAACTTTATGGTGGTGCAAATTGCGTGTGCTAGTAAATCAATCACAGGAAAAAAAACTGCCACATCAGTACATTCATCACATAGAATGATTTAAGACAAGATTTCTACTTCTCTTTTAATTTAATTATTTAATAGTTGTTTAATTACTAGAAGCAGTATTTGGAGTGTCAAGAAGTTTAATCATTATCCAACAGTGAATATCTTAGAAAACAAGTATGGTGACTTTCAGATACAGGAAAATTTATACAAGAATAATGTACGATCTCTTGGATGAGAAGAGAGAGCTAAGAAGTTGGTATTCTAGTAACAAATGTAAAGGAATGTAGAGATTATATTGAAGAAGGAATGGATGAGCCCTTAAGGGAGAAAAAATGGCAATTCATTCCTAAGAAGGTGAAGGGCATAAGAAAGAAACTAAAAATAACCATGCTTTGATTCTGTTTGGTATAGGAAAAACAGACAGACCAAAACTAATAGGCATTCAAGATTCTGTCAATATGCCCTACAATAGAGTAGCATTCCTGGAATCCTTGCAGTGTCTGTTTCTTGATCTGATCTATCTCAAAGAACGGACAAACAAATATGTTTCTTTGGACATTATTAAAGGTAACCTGGAATCTTCAGGTATTGCTGAACTATTGGTCTCATCATCCTTCATTGCCCTTTTAATTGGAGCTGATAGGGCTTGTAGCTCAGCAGCAGCTGTAGGGCCAGAAGTTCTTGATGAATTAATTCAAGAATATTAGAGAAGGAAGGGCTGTAGAACTTAAAAACATGGAAATTATAAAGACACACTTAATTTGTTTTAATCTGGTATCTCCAGGGGCAACAGATCTTGGATAACAAAGCTGGAGGGGAAAAAAACCTCTGCTGAGAATATTCCTAGACTGGTGGTACTTTGATAGATAAATTCGGCATAGCTTTGTATGTGTTCAGAAAGATTTCATTATGCATTCAGAACTCTCATTTTTATTGCTGATATTTTCATCTTCATCATACTGTTTTCCTTATCCAGTGCTTTGCCTTTGCTTTCAGGCCCAGAGGCTAGCCTCCATGAGGAACCACACAGCTACCCACTTGTTGAACTTTGCACTCCGCCAAGTCTTGGGAGACTGCACAGAGCAACAGGGATCCAGTGTGACTGCTGAGCATCTGCGATTTGTTGTCAACACCAAGGTGCCTGGTATCCCCAAAGTACTCCACATTTAGAGCAGGGAGGATAAGAAAACTTGGAACACATCTAGAGACGAGCTGCAAAAGTTAATTCAACATCTGCTATCTTGTCCCCTAACACAGCGGTCCCCAACCCCCGGGCTGCAGCCCATTCAAAACTGGGCCATGCAAGTGGAGAGAGCGCGCACACAAAGCTCCATTTGTATGAGAGTGGGTGCACATATGTGCACACTCACACGGAACAATCCCCCCTCTCTCTCTCGCCACCAGTCCAGCAAGCTGAAAAGGTTGGGAATCGCTGTCCTAACATATGAGTGAGACAGCCTTTGGACTTCCGTCAATGTTAGCAGTCCTGGTATTGAAACAATATTTTTTATTTTTATTTGTTATATTTGTTTGCTGGTCATCTCACCACAAGTATTCTCCTTATTCCTCTAAGAAAAGTAAGGACTCCAACAGGGCATATAAATTCTGTTGGATTTTGTCATTCTTTACCTTGGAGGAAAATTTGGTTAATGAGTAATTTGATATATAGACATAAAGGAGAGATAGGATCAGCAATGGGAAGAATGAATGTCTTGTAATACAGATTTTTGCCAGTTCACAGATGGATAGTACCCAGCATTGAGGAAAGGCCCTAAAATAACAGTTGGAGGGAATTGTGTACTACACAGGTCCAAATTCAATGTATAAATGGAGGATGAGTGATGGAGGCAATTTAGTTTTGGAGCATTTAACTATAATATCTTATGTGTAACATGCACAAAACAACTCATCAGTTGCCATTTAATCCTAATTGCTATTGTGAATACTTGGTGTTTTCACACTAAAAGCCTAATAATGTAAGTTTTGTTAGCATTCTCTTACACAGAATTTGTGTACATGGGCAAACAAACCTTATACATAGTTTGGTTCAAGAACTATTCATTCCAGTTTTGGGATGAGCACTCGGAGGCTTAAAAATCTAGTAAGTGTTAAAACCTGAAACTGAATCTTGGAAACTAATCATCCACTCTTTTGGATTCTACAATACACTAATCTTCATGTTGTGTAATATTGCATCTTTATGATGAAGTATATTTTTCTTCACCAGGTCCGCATAAAAACAGAGAACCTGCAAGAGGTAGAAAGTGTGGTGCAAGAGATGATCAAAAGGAATGAAACTGTCTATACAGGAAATGTTCCCCTCAGTCAGACCAGTGATGTTCTAGGACTCCGGAAACTGGATACGGTAATTTGGGGGATGGCAATGACTAAAGAAAAAAGTCTTAAATAGCTAAAAGCAGAACCAAAGTGACTTCAGCCAGTGTAGGCATTTTGTTCTGGAGACATTTGGAGTTATTTCTGGGTAAATATTTATGTTCTTGAATGTATTTTTAATCAAAATGTCTAACAATTATAAATATTATGCATTTTAAAAGTGAGTCCAAAATTACAAAATGATACCCCATTTGCTTTGCATTTTGATGCATATAATTTTTCCAATAATGTTTTACTGAATTCTACTGTGGATTATATACAACATGGTCCTTTGAAATTAAAATTCTGACCTAAAAAGAATTGTTAGATGGTTTTTATCTCTAATTTAATGAGGCTTTTTTTAACCTCAGGATAGATCGATCAAAGGATGTGTCTGTGAATGTTTGTGATTAATTTTTTTGTACATTTGAAAGAAAACATTAATAAAAACCATAGGAAAACATGGAATACATTTTAGAGCATTATATCATGCTCTTTAATGATTGAACTAAGTTTGTACAGAGAATAAAATCATATTCATCTGAAGTTATATTTCCTGCATGATCAAGACTTGCAGTTGTGCAGAATTCCCATTTATGCCTTGCCTGTAGCTGTTTTCAGCTAAACACATTCATTGTCTTCTTATGCAAAGTTGGGAAAAGCATATGTGCCCCCTCTATGCCTGTTAATCTATAACTCCCAAATGGGCCTGCAAAATAATGTATAATTGTTTAAATTTCTAAAAATATTGGAACTAAAAACACCTGAAATAGCCAATATTGTGTATTTATGCTTTCCGTATAGTTAGTTATGCCACCTGGTTCCTGCTTCTGGATCCCATTTCCATCTAATACTTGTTCTTTCCCTCTTTGGTTTAGTTCCCAGCCACAAAATATTGAGCATTCTGAAAAATGAAACCTTTGAAATTCATAAAATTTGAGAATCTCAGAAACTGGTAGCCAACATTTGGCTGACTGTTATTGAAAATATATTGGGTTTAACCATTTTCCACTTGTTAATAATATCTTTCCCATCCAGCAGCAATTGTTCAGGAGTGTTAATGGCCATAGTGCGTGATCTAAACCCTGTCCTTTTATATATGCATGTGATGCTGACATAAAGAAAGGTGGCAAGGCTTGGATTGTGCTGCTGTACTGCCACCTTTAAGAAATATGGGTAAATGAGTGGAGATAGTGTGTGCAGACCTTCTGCAGATTGGTCTTTGGCACATTCTCAAGGGCGCTGCGATCTTCCACATAATTATGTCCGTGTAATAGTTGCAGCTCACCAGGTGCACAGCCAATACTTGCCATGTCATGTAGTCTTCTCTGAAACCTTTCAGGTGTATCCCGATCTGGTTCGTGTAGTGTCCGTAGGTATCCCAGTTGAAAAGGTCTTGGCTGAGGATTCTAAGCATGCAATGAATACCTCGGTGGAACTGTGCTGTGGAGTGTGAGTATTTTTGTCCTGTTTCTTTTAAATCAGGATGTTTTGTACATGCCTTGACAGTGCAAAGTGGGTTTCCTCGAAAATTCCAGTCCGCTTCCCAGTTTCAGCGGGAAAACCAAGGTTTCAATAATTTCTGCAGTCTGCCACAGCGCTGTCTATTTCACTGTAAGCTGCCAGGGGTCTTAGTTGGCAGCTCCCTTGAGACTCTTACCTGGGGAACCTTCATTAGCAATATAAATTGATACATTGTAACTTACTGCCAAAGAGACAGGTAGTTTAAAAATACTGTCAAAAAACAGGTTTTAGTTTTTGTTTTGCTTCTTGGTTATTTATTTATTGCAAGCACTTGAAGTTCAGCTCAGATGAACTATTTATTGACCAAATCTGATTGGGTGGTTTGGCTTTAGAAGTTGGGAGATACCCTTCTTTTAGCCATGGCTCGCATGAGGCTGTCTTGTCTCTGCCATTTACTGTTTCTTTAATAGGCTTAAACCAAGGGTGTATGTATGTATGTATGTATGTATGTCAGCAGAATCTCATCTGTCATCATCATGCTTCTGGTGCCTGATCAGAAGCCTGATGATGGCAGATGAGATTCTGCTGAAACGTCGCTACAACTTTAAAAGCACAACTACAATGACGTGGGAAAATACCCGAACAAAGCTGAATGCCATATTATTTTTATATATTTATATTTATATATATATATATATATACACACACACACACACACACACACACATATATATATACATACACACTATATATAATATATGTATTGAGGTGGGCTTTCGGACTCCTCCCCCCCCCCCCCAAAAAAAAAAAAAAACACCTGTTTGCTGCTCTTTCTCTCCTCTCCAGACACCTTCTGCAAGCAGGAGATGTACAAGATTTCACCATCATCTCAGAGAAGCAGGCGGTTAAAGGAATCAGCCATATTGTTGCAGTGACAGGAGAGCAAGCCAGACAAGTAAGAGCTCAGTGAAATAGGTGCTGGATTTTTACAAAGATGGAGATGATAATGCTGTTTAAACAGGCCCCAGGATCTGCTGTCCTCCTTCTGTCTCCCTTTGATCCGAAACATTTGTATTATCTGTAGAGGGGCCCTTTTGATAGTATCTACTCACCTATTGCTTTCAGTCTTAGACTAGAAGCAAATGCTATGCTCTTCCCTTTCCACCTCTGTTCAGATTTTGCAGTTCAGAATCACTAAAGCAATTGATCCCTGTCACATAGTTCTTTGTTCTGTCAAAGTCTATGATTCTGAAAAAACTGAGATATCACACTGTTCGGAAATAGGGAAGATGAAAGCAAGGGAAAAACCTGCTGCCTAATCATTGGGATTTCTGTATAGACTCCATATAGATAATAGAAGTTGTGGGTGTGTAACAATTTTTCAATTGCTTTCTTTCTGCTGCTTTTTATGTTTGATTTAAAATATCTCATTCTAACAATGGCTTAGCCTGAGTCCTTCAATTTAACCCGAGGGTGAGCAGTGTGCTCCAGTCCCTTAGCCAGAATTGTTCCTGAGGCTTCTGCATTTGACTGACGAGACCTCTCTGCAAATCCTCAACAATTCCATTCCCTTTCTTCAAATGCAGAAAGGGGGAATTGACTGGAAGAGCAGGCTTGGGATAAATCATCCCTGAGAAGGTCCATTTGTGTGATTGCTAATAGTCAGCACTGACTTTACAGCACCCAATTAAATCAAAGCTAATATCAAGGAAACTACCAGGAGAAGTCTCTAACTTTCCATACCTTGTTGTAAACTTTCCCTCAACACTTCATCCACATAAGATCAAAGGAAGATGTAAAGGCTAAAGTAGGGACATACTGTGTGTAGGCAGATAATCCTTATGGGCGTCTCTTTCCAAGTTAGCAAAGGTTCCACATTATAAACCAGTATTTTAACAGATAACAGATAATCAGAGTTGGAAGGGATCTTATAGGTCATCTAGTCCACACACACACACACACACACCCGCCCAAGCAGGACAAATGATGTAGGGGTACAAGATGGACTGGGAGTCAAAACAGTTTGCGAATCTCCAACATGATGTTTATAATGCACATGCAACCCAATTCCAGCTAGCAATGTTGCAGTTGAACTAATTAAACTGTCCACATCCATGACCTGATTTGATTTGTCCTCTGCTGCTATCTTGTAATCTACTGGGTAACCTACAATTGGTGTTGGGAAAATCTAATTAGATTTGTTTCAAATTCAGGATGGAATAAGATTTCTCAATACGATACTGATGTCATCATAGCCGTTCTGTGCAGATAGCATAATTGTTAGGATCAGTTCCTCTACGTTTTGACTTTCTCCATACTTAAGCAAGGGGAGAACAAAATACACATGAAGTGAATGAAGCTGTACGAGGAACATCTCATGCCCATTTTGTCCGTGTCATAGATTTTTATATAAGAGAAGGTAGAAATTAGGCAAGACAGTGGCTTTTAATAATACTCTTTTCTTGTTGTCATCTCTCCCATTCAGCTTTATCCACAACTCCCGAGGCTTTTAGTCTATGCAAGTGCTTTCACTGTAACTGTCCCACCCACATACCTTCCTCGTAAGAGCAATCTTCTTTCCTCATCTCATTAATTTCACCCCCTCTCTCCTCAGAATGCATCTTAACTATTAATGAGATTTCTGGCTTTTTTGTCATCACCAAGCATCCAACTTTATGCTCTCATGAACAGCAACCCTTTTTCCAGGGGTCCAGTGAACAAATAAGGCACCATTGATACCTCTGTTTTTATAGGCTCAGAATATTGGCCAGTTCTTGGCTAAAGAAGTGGATTCACTTGGTACCCTAGTGAAATTGGGAGGAGCCTCGGTTAATGAAACACAGCGAATCTCCAAGGAAGTTGGTCATCTGACTGATGTAAGTAATGCCTGCCTTCAAAAGAATTTATGGGAGGTTTTTGGTTTTTTTAATCCTGTCACATGACCTTATTCTCACATTAAGCTCATAGTCATCAAATAAGCTTATACTATCTGATACATTGAATGAATGGAAATATTAGTTTGTTATATGAGAGTAGGATATCTGATTTTATGCCTGGATTCTTTGATAATTTAAATGTTTATTGAAAATTGGCCTTCCCCTACCTCCACCCCTATATGAGTCGGTATATTCAGCATAGATATCATTGACCTGGAGGAGCTCTGGTGGTACAGTGGTGAAAGTGCAGCACTGCAACCAAATTCTGCCCACAGCCTGAAGTTCAATCCTGACAGGGCTGAAGGTTGACTCAGTTTTCCATCCTTCCAAGGCCAGTAAAATGAAGACCCACATTGTTGGGGGTAATCAAATAACACTTACATTGTAAATCGCCCAAAGAGCGCTGTAAAGTGCTACAAGGCGGAATAAAGCATAAATGTTATTGCTAACTTGCCTCAATGGCTTCATTTTTCTCTCTTAACTGACCATCATCCTATTTCCCTTCCTTTGATTTCAGTAAAATGACTGGCCAGTAATATATGCATAGACCAACATGGGAGAAAAACTGACAGCATGAAAAACTGACAGCTTTATAGGACCCACTAAAGATTGACATTTGTTTTTTATATCAATGCTTCATGCTGAAATATCTTTGTTTAAGAGTAAAATTAAGGTTCACCCACTGAAACAAATTCTGTCCTTTTAACTACATAATTTTTTTAAAAAAATATTCTGCCTTCTGTTGCACTCCTGGAAAATTCTTTCCTTCTCCCATCTGAAAAAGAATCTGCCAAATGGAAAGGCATCATGGAATTGATTTGTTTTACAGAGAGTGGATACTACCAAGATGCCACAGTGGCAGAAAAGGAAATTGCAGGCTACTCTCAAAACACTACAGCAAGCAGCCAACAGTGCCCATAGGAAAATGGGGGTCAGACTGGTAAGGATTTAGCAATTCTTCATTTTGGCAGGCATGACAGAATTTCATAACAAGCTACAAAAATTTAAATGAGCAAAGGAGCCATAATCAACTATGGGACCTAATATGCTGAATAAAAACTGAATGACTGTTAAATCTGATTGCGATGAATGCTGAGCTGGAGATTTATGTTGACTTCAGAATGACAAATATTGTAATTAATTACATATATGTATAGAAATACATTTTTAATAAATGAATATATAAATAAATGTAGTAAGTGGTACCATTCCCAAATGAATCACTTCCTTCCATGATATATAAACTGTCATATACTTTGAATAACTAAGATGACTGATCCAAGAGAAATTCCAATGCAGAATTCAAAGCATTCTCCACCATTGGTCATGTTGGCTGGAATTTCTGAGTCTTTCAGTTAATAGATAGCTTCAGCTGCTGTATAGAAACAGAAGGAAGCAATGTTGATGAGATATGTTGTGTGGGGAAAGGTGAGTAATCTAATAAAACAAATTCTGAGCCTGGTTATCAGGATGTTCAGCTTGTGATAGTGTTGTGAGAAACAAAACTCAACAGATTAATAGTTTTTTAATAAAGCATCCTTAATTTTAGAGATGAAGAATCCTTTTTTTTCATACTTCATTTCATGATTAGTTTGTAAAGCAAAAAGCTACAAGCTTTCCATGATTATCTGACTTGAAAAATATTAAGTGAGGAAATAGATCACTGCTGCACTACACTAGTCTGGTGTAATATGAACTTCCTACTGTTAATTTTATACATACATACATACACACACACATACATACACACAAATACATACACACACACATATCTGTATACACAACGCGTATATGTATATAAAAACCAGAAAACATGGATGTTTTATAGCAACCATCATAGTCCAGGGGCTTATGCTCTTGCAATGGGGTTTCCTGTTTGCTTTATATTTGCTACTTTTAAAGTAATTAATACAGATGCCACTGTGATATTGATGGTATCACCTGGTATACATTTTATGTCTTTTACCCAACCACTATTATTGCATTTTGTACATTCTTTCCCTAGGCAGCAGAGAAGGTGCAAGGCTTGCTGACAAAGTATTCCAATGAGCCAGTCATCATTGATACTATTCCTGCTGAGACACCCTATGTGAGTTTTAACCAACAATGGATTTCTCTTAGAAAGCAGCCTACCATGCTAAAATTATTTCTACAATCAGCAGATTAAATTGTCTTCCTCAAATGTTAAGCAGCTTAGAGCAGGGGAAGGCTCACATCTGAACTGCTCAAATAGTGTGAGGAGCCTAGTTCGTTCTGAACCTTTTCATGATTAGAGTTTCCTCCTACTTTTACAATTCTTGTGTTATATAAACTGAAAATCTTCCTTTTGCACCAACTGTCCACCTAACTGTTGTTCATTTCTCCTTCTCGGTCCAGAATATATTGCACTGCTTTATAACATGATACAGTTTAAAATATTGAAGATTTCTTCTGCTTCTTAAATTCCTTGATTAAAACGAGTAATATTTTAAAGCTGGAGTTTTATTTTTATCTCTTGATTCTGTCCTAGATCTTGATGAAAGCAGTCAAGCAACTGTGTAACAAAGTCCCAGGGGCTTCTGTGATGTTGCTTAGCTCACAACCAGCAGGCCAAGTGTTTTGCGCTTGTCAGGTGTCCAAGGTAGGTGGGATTCCCTGTGATTCTTCAGTTTCCATTATTCTGAAAAGATAGAAGCAAAATCTTCACATTCTTTGAATGAGAACAAAATTTTGAAATGTGTTTTTTCATTAATTTTTTTTATTTTCTCTTAATATAATTGTTTTACTAATAGAGTCAGTAAAAATCATGACATTAAGAGAAAATTTTGATTTTCATTTTTAAAATGGCCCCAGTAAAGTACTAGAATGCTTGTTTGGTGTGGAGGTTAACACATCAGGCTAGAAACCATTCGACTGTGTTCTAGTCTTGCCCTAAGCACAAAGACAGGTGAATGACCTGACTCGAAGGTACATAAACACAGTAAAAATAGGACATTTTTCTCTCTCTTGAACAAAATAACATCCTTACAGTAGAATTTCATCACTATCATGCCTAAGCAATTTTATAAAAATGAATTAGTGGGTCTGCAACATTCATATACAAGGTTATATGGTAGACAAACATTTCAGCTTTTCATTGCATTTCAGACTTTCATTTTTAGTTACATGTAGAAAATCACACATTGGAGATGATTGTTTTGCACTTACATGGTGATGGAATTCAGCCAAACAAGTCAGAGATGCTAATTTAACATAGGGCTAACATAAGAAAAGATCAGAAGGAATGACTGATAATAAAGGAATGGTGGCCACTCTCAGAATGCTGTCACTGCAACTATAGGTAATGAATTATTTCTTAAGTAGCTTGTCTTTTGCTCATCTAAAATATATTATCCAAAGAATGTCCTTTGATGTTAGATAGATAGATGATAGATAGCCTATCTATCTTGCCCTATATATATAGATATAGTTGCAGTGACAGCATTATATATATATATATATATAT